CCCCCTCCTCTCTCTAAATTATATTATTGTTATTATTTTATAATTGTTGAGTATAATTTTCAAATATTATGCAAAAACCCGAAGAAGAGGAAAATATTAGTATTTGAGTAGAAAATTAATTTTTTTTTAAATATATCGAACGATTTATAGTTATGTTCACTATTTAAGTAACGAAATAATTTATATAAGATAAAATCATAAGTGGTTTTAAAACTTAAATATGAGGATTTTCAACATAGTTTGAATAAGAAAGGTTTGAATAAACAAATTTTTAGTTGATTTTCTTGTTTTTTGGATATGAAACGAATTCTTTTTCCAAAACCACAAGTCCAAAATATTTCTAGTTGATTTTATAGACAAAATTTTATTTGATCAATACAGAATGATCTATAACCAACATTTTTGTTGATATCAAAGTTTTAAATAAAAAATAAAAAAATTAAATGATAATTTTATTTAACGTGAAATATATTTTAAAGAAAAAATGGATCATTATACACATGTAGAAAAATCAGTAATAATCGACATGGTTGTGATATAAATTGCATATAAATTTTGTGTCATGAAAATTAACCTTCTCAAAAAAATTATAATTACAAAGGCATATGACGAAGTCATGGTGATATTGTCCGAGTTAAGTGTAAAATGAACGTGTTTTAGGCATGTCTTTTGTTTTTGTTTATTTTCCTGATTATATTTTAGAAAATTATAGCTCCACTTTCACTCTATTACCTTGTGTATTATTTCCGAATGATTGAGTTGATAGTGTTTTTGAAAAAGATATTTAATGGTATATTTACGTTAATTTATTTAGCAGGTATGGTGGGAACTTTGACTCCCCAAAACTAATAGATATTGATTGGAGTTAATTTGGATATTAAAAAAAACAGCTATCAACTTTTAAAAAGGTGTGAATATATATTTGTACGTATCTTGTTTATGCAATGAGCTAAGATTAAATTTAGTTGTTTTCAAAATAAGGAAAATATTTACATAAGGTGAAACTTAATTAATTTTAAATTTCTAAATATAGGAATTTTTACATAGTTCAAATAAGAAAAAATTTAATAACGAAATTTTAGATGATTTTAAATTCCTAAATATTAGGAACATAATTATTATGTTCAATATAAAATCTAGTTTGAGTGAAAAAAAAAGCGAACAACATTTCACAAGGGTTTTCGTGCTTTTAATATAGTAAGTATAGATAAGTCATGCAGTTTACCTGCGGACCATTCTCTCTCCTTTCCTCCTATGTAAGTATGTAACAAAAAAAGTTAAAAGAATTTTTAAAATTTTTTTTTAAAGGAAAGAGATAGATTATGTTAAATTAAACCACAAGTGTTACAAGTCTCAAATAAAATCCAAATAAAAACTACGTAACATTTTTGGGAGACTCTTGTCAAGTAAATTCATCTTGCATGCCTTAACAAACAAACCCCTTTTGATTTTACCGTCTATTTTTTTAATATACAATTCTTAATTGGTTACACGTTTGATATTTGTATAGTTTAATAGTTTATGACTTTGGCCGTATATTTATTTCCTCTGTCTCAATTTATATATATATTTTTTAGTAACTTCAATTTATAGTTTTTATTTTACCTTTAATGAAAGAATTTATTATACATAAATATGTATAATTTATTTTATATCACAAATTTATAAGTCTTATTTTTTCTAAACTTTGAATTGAGACAAAAGAATTATAAGCATAAAAATATTAGACACATTGGCGGTGTTGTCTTATTGGACTGTGTAAAATTAATTATAGCAGTGGCACATTCGGATATCATTTTAGAAAAGAATATATACTCTTTCAGCCAACTATTATTCAACGTTAAGTTATAAGTCTAGGCGGTTTTAATACTGCAAGTATATTTCCTCCTTTATTTTTCGGTTTTTTTCATTTGTGACCCTGTCCACTGATTAATTTCTTGAGCTGGGTTCAGTTTCTGCTACAATTTATTTTAGGTAAAATTTTCTGGGTTCAGCAAATTTGTGCATTGTTATCGTTTATTTGTGTTTCCCTTTAGATATTTTCTTCTTTTATCTGCCTTTTTTCTAAGCAAGACAGCTAGTTTTTCTCACCGGTCTTTGAATCCTTATCAATTAATGTTCTTTGATGATTGTTGTTAGAATTCAAATACAGAATTTATTTGGGAATCAAGTAAAGATTGGATCTTTGTGGGAAATCTAAAGATTTACTTGAGGGAATGAATGAATTGTTGCAGAAGAGCTAAAAAAATTCAATCTTTGATGAATTGGGGTTTTGATTTGTGACGTGGCAATAAGACTGTGCAAAAGTGGAAACTTGGCAGATTGTCGTATTAAGAAACTGAATATTGTATATGCATAATATTGGCATGAGATGATTTAAATGGAATAACGTGGTCAGTAAGAATTCGTATAGCCGACCTCAACTTATTTGGGACTTAGACATACTTGTTGTTGTTGTTGTTGTTGTTGTAAGAGAAATGAATACTGTGGGGAGGATTGGTAGCTATATAGGTCGAAGCGTACGTACTGTTTCTGGGACCTTAAATCCATTTGGTGGTGCTGTGGATATCATAGTGGTGAAGCAACCAGATGGGAGTTTGAAATCCTCTCCTTGGTATGTTCGATTCGGGAAGTTTCAGGAGGTTTTGAAGGCAAAAGAAAAGGTGGTTAATGTAAGTGTCAATGGCGTGGAAGCGGGTTTTCGAATGAATTTAGATAGTAGAGGGCAAGCATATTTTCTAAGGGAGCTGGACATGATAGATGGAGATTCTTTAACTACTCGAACATCCGAACAGCTAGCAACGTTGAATCTGAAGGAGGGAAAGAATGTAGTTGTATTCACATGCTCGAAACGCCAGGTCATTTGCTAAGACTTCTATTCATTGCTTGTTGCTTCGGTGTTTCAGTCTTTTCTTACTATTGATTAACTATTGCGTGCGTATGCAAATGCTTGCTTATAATTTGTTTGAGATACGTACTTTGCAGGTTGATGCGTGTATATATTTGTGGAGATGGGACACAAATATTGTAGTCTCTGATGTTGATGGAACAATTACTAGGTAAAATTGATTCACTTTTCTGCTATAGATGGCTGGTGCTATTGATTTCTCTATGAGCTTGCTGATGTGTCCAAGACTTGCTATTTTGTTAACTTTGATCACAAAGAATGTAACAATTATCAGCTTTTTTAATTATAAAAAAGTTGATAATTATTACATTCCTTGTGATGAAAGTTGAACAAAATAGTTCAAAAGAGTTGCTAGTTGTGACATTCTTTAGATTCAAAGTTGAAAATAGCAGGTCTTGGACACAACAACAAGCTTGTAGAGAGGACATTTACTGTAGCAACTTTTGATTAGTGCAAATGGAGTGTTAATGGTTATTATTTGTTATCCTTTTTTGTATAACTTCTTCTGTTACATGAACCACATATCCTAATATCAACTTTGTTAAGTACGATTATTTGGCTAAATTGCTTTCTTCGTGTAGTTAACTTTGTGATTCACTTCCACGCACGTATCTTAGAAGCAAGGAGTTGTTCTTAATTGATGCACCATAGCGTGATGCACTTAAAAGTGTTTCAACACAAGTCCAATATCCCTCTTCCTGATTAGATTTTCTTAGTTTGCCCCGGAGATTGAGAGCAGAGTTGATATATAATTATTGTAGAGAAAAGTGGGTCCAAAGTTAGATGTGATGTTGTCATCTTTGTTATTTTTGAGGTTTTATCTTCGTATTTCCGAAAGGGAAAGTTCAAGTTCGAAAGGGAACCTTCAAGATGCAGTTTGGAGTCCAAACTCGGAAACTCCTTCCAAATTTACCGTTGACTTTGTCCCATAAATGTTGCAGAGAGTGGCCATGGTATGGTAATATAACCAGAACTGAATTCCTGTCACGTACTGCACATTAGGTTACTTCTGTCATAAACTATTTCTAAACTCAAGCTGACAATGAACCGATTGTTGTCTAAACTTCAATTCTAGGTTCCTCCTTTGCAGGATTAGTAGATTCTTAGTCCTTCTAAGGCTAGTTAGTATTACAATCTTTGACAAGTACATTGTTGAATATTAATCAATTCCAAGTCTATGAACAGTTGGTACTTATTGTGATACATGGAGAAAGCATATACTTCTATAAGATGCCATCTTGTTCGTCTTCTCTCCCTCTGTGATCTATGCCGGAATTGAAACCTCACATCAATATATCATCTGTTGTTCTTGATCTCTTCCGACCAAAGTATTTGTCATTTCGTGTTTTTCAAGAGTAGTAAATTTTGATCATTTTTAATATTTTGGATTGGAAAAAGATCCAACTTTTAGTATCTTTGTATAGTCTCTAGATCTCTATATAATATTTCAAATGGTACATCTTATCATATGTCTATTATTGCTTCGACTTTCAGTCAGAAGTTAGAGTGGGTGGAAGAGTATCAGTTTAGGATTTAATTAAATCTTTTCTGCACAAAAAATGGCCATATCTGACGTTTGCTATAGTTTTTTTTTGGGACTAGTTTTGTAATCAGTATAGTTTGCAAAACGTACTGAATAGTTGAAGAGAAAATTTCCACTTTGTGAACAAAAATGCTAGACTTCTTTGAGTTTGCGATATATGATAGCAATATAGATGATATTATTTCCTTGTTCCCAACTGATGTGTGATTTCTTCTTTCTCAATTAAACAGATCTGATGTTCTAGGGCAGTTCATGCCTTTGGTGGGAGTGGATTGGTCACAGTCAGGCGTTGCACATCTCTTTTCGGCTATCAAGGTTTTAGACTTAATTCATTTTCTCTTTTCCCTCTTTTGAGGTTTATTCGGATGAGCTGTGATATGGAATGATGCAATTCTCTTCTCCCCTCTTTTGGCAAGTAAATGGTCACAATTCAAGTCTCTAGTTCAAGGATGTTCTCTTTTTTGTTGTGAATTTTGTTACAAATCAAAGTCAAAGCAATTTGAAGAAATGTATGGAACAAAACCCCATGAAGGAGAAGACAGAAACTTTCATTCAATTGGGAGGAAAACCCGATGAAATGAGTCTTCTAGCCAAATAAAGTGTTGAGACTACCTATTTATACATAATACAAAATGAAGGCTATCTTCTACAAAGTGATTATATTTGTAAGAATAAATAGTGCTACTGAAAGAAGTCTTCAAGGTGGGTCAGTCTTGATGTAGTGGGCTGAGTCATGTGTTTGGGCCTTAGTACCACTAACTTGGGCTTCAACATCCCCCCCCTCCCCCCCCCCCCAAGCTGGAATGGGCCACCAGTCCGAGCTTGGAAAGAAAAGCAGTATGGGTAACACGTTAAAATATCATGGTATAGCCAGTTTTCACACTGGTCAATGAAAAATAGTCAGCGTTTATCGAGTCAATGAAAAATAGCCACTATTTTGCTGCAACAGGGACCGGTCCAGTATAATATACGGGAGTTCTGGTGCATTTGTGTACGAACTCCAGCATATTATGCTGGACCGGTATACTTTGCTAACTCCTGTAAAATTTGCGGGAGACTGGAGCACCAGTGCTCCAAACTCCAGTATATTATACTGGACAATTATACTTGCTGGAACTCCCGTAAAATTTGCGGGAGTTCCAGCATAGTTATCCTGGAACTCCCGTAAATTTACGGGAGTTCAAGCATACTTATGCTGGAACTCCCGTAAAATTTGCGGGCGTATTTTTCCGGATTTTGAACAGTGTTTTCGCTCAGATTTAAAGTGGCTAAATTTCGATGACTTTTGAAACTTGACTATTTTTCAACGACCAGTGGTAAATCTGGCTATTTTTGAATTTCTCCCGGGTAACACCTGACAAAACCTTAGTGAAAACATCAACTAATTGAGCAGCAGAAGAAATAGCATGCAAGGGAATAAGTCCAGAAGCAAGCTGCTCACGCACAAAATGGCAATCGATCTCAATATATTTGCTGCGCTCATGAAACACCGGATTTTTAGCAATGTGGATGGTAGAGTGATTATCACAAAGTATTGAAACAGGGGACAAGGAAGATATCCAAACTCACCGAGAAGCCGAACCACCCAAACAATTTCAGCAACAACCTGACACAAGGTCCTATACTCAGCCTCAGCTGAAGAAAGAGCAATAGTAGCCTGTTTCTTGGACTTCCAGGAGATAGGACAACCCCCTAATAACAGTAGATAGCCACATACAGACCTCCGGGATGTGGAACAACTTGCCTAATCGGAATCACAAAACCCAACCAAATCAAAAGTAGTGGAATTGTTAAAGAGCAAACCCAAATGAGAAATGCCCACCAAGTATCTCAACACATGCAGTGTAGCATCAAAATGAGGAACCCTTGGCTGTGACATGAATTGACTGAGATGTTCAACACTAAAAGAGATATCAGGTCTAGTGTGTTGGAGGAAATTAAGCTTACCAATTAACCTCCTATACACAGAAGGATCAGGAAGAAGCTCACCAGAATCAGCAGACAACTTGGAGTGAACATCTAAAGGAGAACTCACAGTACTAACATGTTGACAATTGAATTTTGAAAGTAAGTCTAACAGAAACTTTTGTTGGGTTACAAGCAGACCCTGAGGATGTTTAAGGATCTGAAGACCCAAAAAATAATGTGCTTCACCTAAATCCTTAATCCGGAACTGAGCATCCAAAAAAGACTTCAAAGTAGTGATTTCACTCAAATCATCACCACTTAGAAGGATGTCATCTACATAAATGGCAACAATAGTAATAGAAGTAACAGACAACTTAGTGAACATGGAATAATCATTTTTACTTGGAGTATAACCCTTAGATTGGAGAGTAGTAGAGAGCTTAGCATACCATTGCCTTGATGCTTGTCTAAGTCCATAAAGGGATTTATTGAGCTTGCAAACTAAAGGCACAGAAGAGTCACTAGAAAGAACTTGCAAACCAAGAGGAACTTTCATATACACCTCCTCTTCTAAATTACCATGCAAAAAGGCATTATTGACATCTAGTTGGAAAATAGGCCAATTTTTCTTAACAGCAACACTCAACAGACATTTAATGGTAGTAAGTTTAACGACAGGAGAAAATGTTTTAGTGAAATCCACCCCCTCTTGTTGAGTGTCCCCCCTTATAACCAGCCTAGCTTTGTATCTTTCCACACTCCCATCTGCCCTTTGTTTAATTTTATAGACCCATTTGGAAGAAATTGATTTCTTACCAGGAGGTAAAGGAACAATGGTCCATGTGTTATTGGCCTCTAGTGCCTGAAATTCATTCACCATGGCATTCTGCCAAGCAGGATTGGACACTGTTTGATGATAAAACTGAGGTTCAAGACTGGCAATCCTTAGAAACAGAGACATTAGAGCAAACATAATCCTTAAGGTAAAGTGGGGGATTAGAAGGCCTAGAGGACTTTCTCAAAGGAAGAGAGGAAGAAGAAGGAACTGAAGGGACTGGAGAAGGTGGGGTTAAGGGGACCGAGTTAGAGGAAGAAGAAACAGGAGAGAAAACAGATGGATCAATAGAGGTAGGAGTAGGAGAAAAAAGAGGAGAGGAGGGAAATAAAGAAGGAGGAGGAGAAGAAGAAGAATAAGGAAAGATAGATTCATGAAAAATGACATCTCTGGAAAAGTAAACATTATGTTTAACCAAATTCAACAATTTATAAGCCTTCTTTGTCATGCTATATCCAAGAAACACACATGAAATAGTTCTGGACTTAAATTTGTCCCTATAAGGTTTGGGCACAGCAGCAAAGCATAAACAACCAAAGATCTTTAGATGAGAATATGTAGGTGGGGATCCATACAGTAGTTCAAAAGGAGTTTTATGTTATAACAAGGGGGAAGGAAACCTATTAATCAGGTAAGTGGCAGAAAGAATGCATTCCCCCCAGTATTTGAGTGGTAATTTAGACTGAAAAAGAAGAGATCTAGCAGTTTCTAGCAAGTGTTTATGTTTCCTCTCCACAACCCCATTCTGCTGAGGAGTATGTGGACAAGAAGTCTGGTGGAGAATGCCTTGTGCTGAAAAAAATGAAACAACTTCAGTACTTGAACCTAGTTCAAAAGCATTATCAGATCTAAGTGTTTGAATGGAGGAGTGAAATTGGTTCTGAACCACAAAAATGAAGGATTTCAAAAGAGTAAAAGCATTTGATTTGGTGGAGAGTAAATGAGTCCAAGTGGCTCTGGAAAAATCATCCACAATGGTCAAAAAGTATCTAAAACCATTATAAGTTTTATTGTGGTATGGACCCCATAAATCCACATGAACAAGTTGAAAAGGAGCATCAGTTTTAATAGAGCTATCAGGAAAAGAAAGTCTTTGCTGCCTAGCCATGGGACAAACATCACAGATAAAAGGCTGTTTCTTGGAAAATTTATCCTTAATGTGAGCAATTGACTTCATTTTATGAAAAGGCATGTGACCAAGCCTCAAATGCCAAGCCATATCAAAATCAAAGGCAGAATCAAGAGAATGTACAGAACAATGTTTTAAAAGGCGGGGGCGTGAGGCGAGACGTTTTACCTCTGACGAGGCGAGGCGTAAGCCCTGAGACATGGGGCGTAAGTCCCACGGATCTTTAAATTTTACTAATTTCAAGAATTTTAAGATAGTATAAAATAAAAAATAATTATAAAAATTATATTAAAATCACAAAATTATAAAAAATTATCTATTTAAAATATTGATAAATTATAATTCAACCATGAATAATACGAAAAGTATGACATATATCATGATATGCAGATTAGCTGCAACGTCGTTACAACTAAAACAATTCACCATACAATACCATGATAAGTAATTATTTGTAAATAGTTAATAGCTGATACTAAGCTATTAAATTAATAAGTATTGTATCACGTAAGCATAAAAAAAAAATATTTAGAAAATAATTATAAAACAATAGTGGACTATTATATTATAAAGACATAACAAAAGTTAATAAATAAATATTTTTTAAATGAAAGATTTATTTAAAATTTACTATCATAGCAGTCTTAGTGGATAACGTGCAATAATTTTTATTTTAATTATGACATAAAATACTCTCAACTTAATGATTTATGATTAAGAAAAAAGTAATTTTGAATAGTCAACGATTTATTAAGAAAATTTGTGCATTTACAAGGTTAGTTACACTCAATTGCATAAAATTCTATTAGGCGAGTCCATTGCGCTGGGCGTGACCGGGGCGTAAGCTCTGACGGCCGAGGCATAAGCCTCACGGAATTAAGCCTCACACATAAGCCCATGGGCGTTTTACGAGTGCTCCGCCCTGGGGCGAGTCCCATTTTGCCTTTTAAAACAGAGGACAGAATTGGAAACAGTTTTATTGACTTCAATGGTATTTACAATGTTATCATGACAAACTTTAGATGGCAAACAAGCAGAATTGGCAGAAATATCATCGCTGACTGAATGAGCAAAAACAGAAGGTAATGTTGAAGGGAAAGCCTCAGGCTGGAAGAGATACAACCCATTGGAGATTTTACCAAGAACCAGTGGCCTCTTCAGTGAAAGGCCCTGTAAGATACAATCATAAGCAGAAAAAAGAGCTTTACAACTTAGTTGCAACAAAAGTTGATGCGACGATATCAAATTGTACTGAAAAGAAGGTACAAGCAGAACATTTTGCAAGAGTAGGTTAGTTGTCAAACGAAGAGAGCCTGAACAAGTTACTTTAACTCTATAACCATTGGGAAGTATGACTAAGTAAGGAACAACAAGAGGTTTTATATCAATTAGAAGAGATTTCTGAGGAGTCATATGATTAGTCGCTCCTGAATCTATTATCCAAGGATTACCAACTACTCTAGAAAGATTGCAGGCAAAAACACGACAAGTTCTGGTATCAACATGAGGAAGCAAACATGCAAAGTTGGCAGATGCAGGAATAGTGGTGTCCGGAGAGACCTTAGACTGGTGGAACAAGCTCAGCAAATGTTCGTACTGCTTCTTTGTGAAACCATGGCTTTTGGAATCAGATTGTTCAAAACGATTATCAGAGGAAAAAGTATCTGGTTGTCCAAGATCATGACCCGCACTGTTAGATTCTGCATAGGCAGCAGATTTTCTAAATTTGCTAGGTTGGGGAGCACCAGGGTAACCATGCAATTTGTAACATTTTTCGATACTATGTCCCGGTTTCTTACAGTATTTGCACATGCAGATTTTCTAAATTTGCTAGGTTGGGGAGCACCAGGGTAACCATGCAATTTGTAACATTTTTCGATACTATGTCCCGGTTTCTTACAGTATTTGCACACCACAATAGCTCTCTTGGAGTCGAAATTGACTTTCTGAGGGTATGACTTATGCACACCAGCAGTAGAGGAACCAACTAAAGGCTTCTGAACTCCAGTGAAGAATGAGGTAGATTCAGAGGAGAAGGAAGGAAGTGCGGATTGAGCCTCACACCGACTCTCATCATTTAACAACATGGAATATGCAGTGTCAATATCGGGCAAAGGTTTGATTGCCAGATTATTTCTCCTAATCGTGGTATATGTGTCGTTAAGGCCCATTAGAAACTGATGAAGTTTTTGATCCTCCTCTATTTTCTGGAAAGCCTCCTTGCATCCACACACACAATCAGGATAAGTAATCGAATATGCTAATTCGTCCCATAGCTTCTTAATCCTAGAAAAATAACTAGCAATGTTAGAATTTCCTTGAGAAATTGAAGACAGGGCCTTGCGTATCTGATGAACTTTAGATCCATCGGGCTGCCCATATCGCTTCTCTATATCCGTCCACAACTTGGAGGCTGATTCTGTATACATAACACTCCCTGATCTCAGCTTCCAAACTATTCAGAATCCAAGCATTTACCATATCGTTACAACGACACCAAGCTTCAAACAATGGCGAAGTTGAACTAGGCTTAGTGATAGTCCCATTGATTATCCCTAGCTTATTTTTGCAGGACAAACCAATCAACATTTCTCTTCTCCAGCTGCCATATCCCATCCCGTTAAATCTATCAGCCACAATAACTGTCCCAGGATTGTCGGTGGGATAGAGGTACAACGGATGAGAGGGTTCAACAGAGGTCGAGCTAGAAACCGTAGCAGGAGTAGAAGTAGCAGTAGAAGTAGACGTAGTCTCCGGTGGTGCCATGATACGGTTCTAAAAAAAACTAGGGTTTCGAATTGAAGGAGGAGATAGAACTTCACAAAAAACCAGAATTAAACCAAGTAAAAACAAATGGATTTGAATGTAATACCAACTTTCTTCACTGAATCGAATAATCACAAGGAGAAAACACCTTCAATGGCGTCAATTTTGATGAACATCGCCGTTGAAGCCGGAACTGTCGAAATCACCGCCGAGCAGTAAAACTCAAAAATTGACCTTGAAGGTTAGCACCGGACTGAAGTCGGAGCTCCGATCTACCCAAAACCGGGCTCTGATACCATGTTACAAATCAAAGTCAAAGCAATTTGAAGAAATGTATGGAACAAAACCCATGAAGGAGAAGACAGAAACTTTTATTCAACTGGAAGGAAAACCCGATTAAATTGAGTCTTCTAGCCAAATAAAGTGTTGAGACTACCTATTTATACATAATACAAAATGAAGGCTATCTTCTACAAAGTGATTATATTTACAAGAATAAATAGTGCTACTGAAAGAAGTCTTCAAGGTGGGTCAGTCTTGATGTAGTGGGTTGAGTCATATGTTTGGGCCGTTGTACCAAGAACTTGGGCTTCAACATGTTTTCCCTTTTTAAAGGTTTGCTATGGGTCGAAATGTTTCTGCATTTCTTCTATGTAATTATATGTTTTAGTTTTTGTCTGATAGTAGAATAAGAATGGATGATGTTGTCTTGTTGCAGGAGAACGGCTATCAATTGCTTTTCCAAAGTGCACGTGCTATTTCACAGGCCTATCTCACTAGACAATTCTTGTTTAATCTTATGCAGGTATGAAAATAAGTTTATCTCAAGTAATCACACTTCTCTTTTTGCTCCTAGTCAATTAATTTGATTTTTTTTGTATTTGTGATAATTGCAGGATGGAAAGGGATTACCTGAAGGACCTGTTCTTACATCGCCTGATGGACTTTTTCGTTCTTTATTTCGAGAAGGTTACTGGCTATCCCTTTCTTTATTTCGTGAAGTGTTTTCTCTTTGTATTTTTCGTTGCTCCAAATTATGCATCCCATTCAGTTGCTAATATTCTGTTTGTCCATATTCTTATGAATCATGATTAGTAGAATAAAACAAGATTATCTATTAACATATGGGTAGACTAAAACCTGATATGAACCGTGCCTGGCAAATCCTTTTTTTTTTTTTTTGGTAGATAATTTATATATATATCACATTGTGCTTTGTATCCTTTTATGAATATCAATTGGGGAACGAGGGAAAACGATGAAGGAGAAGTAAGCTGTTATCGGTGCTAACTCTGCATTGAAAAGGATGGATCGTTGCCTCAAAACTGTATTAACAGCAATATGCATTTAGAATGCAAGATACATTATTGGTTCAGTGGACTGGTTGTTTCATGCTTTTGTGTATGAGCTTAAATGGTGAAATGTGTTACTTCCTTCTGCGACTAATTAGTAGTATGATATTAAACTCTCCTGGAAGAAGTGCTTCAAATTTTGCTCATAATATGATTGAGAGGTGCATCTACCTTTTACCTTTTGCAGTGGTTACAAGATCTCCCCATGAATTCAAAATTACTTGCTTACAGGTCAGTTTCTTTATTCATTTACTCTTTTTTTTTCCTAATAGTATTTTTAGCTTTTAAGCAAAGAAGTTATGCATGTCTGTAAAAGCCGTGAGGCTGGCGAGGCTCTGGGACCATTGCTTTAACCTAGTGATGAGCTGCATCTGGTAGAGTGATGATTTTGTCATTTAATGGAATAAAGATGACTTACATCCATGTTGTCTAATCATTGCTTTTCTGCTATCTTAAGGGAGTTATGCCTTGTGATGTAAACAACCTGACTCAGAGAATAAGTGGATATTTGGTGCTTTATAGTTTAACTGCTCAAAACTCCCTGTTTAATACACGCAGAAGTCTCAAATGTTCCAAATTTTGCAAGTGGACGTTTGATAATTTGGACATAGAAAAATACCATTTTTAACTGATCTTACTCCTGCTTAAGGTGGATGAGAAGTTGTGTTGTTTGGTGTGCCACACTCAAAATATGGCTGTGTAGGAACATCAAGATGTAACTAATGAAATAAATAATCGCAAGATGGATATGGATATAATGGCTAATAAGAGAAAGCTCGAAACTATAACTCAGAGTGGAATACGTCTTTTATAATAAATTCAACAATGGTTTTTGTTTTGGTGTTTTTTTTGTTCCTATTTATCATGGGTTTGCTCTTGGAATTACGGGCAATTGTAGAAGTTTTAGTGGCTAAGTTCAGCACTTCATCTTAGGTCATCTAGCTTTGGCAACATATGCAGATAATTAACTTTTAACTTTTGAAATTTGCAGGATGTCAAGGCATTGTTCCCTTCTGATAGGAATCCCTTTTATGCTGGTTTTGGAAACAGAGACACCGACAAGGTCAGCTACCTCAAGGTTGGAATACCTGAAGGAAAAATCTTCACCATTGATCCAAAGGTATGTAGAATCAACGAAGGAACTTTGGCAAGTAACTTTCTTAGAGTTTTTGATGGCATGTCTATAATGCACAGGGTCAAATTGTTATGAACCACCACATAGATACAAAGTCATACACCTTCATACATGGTTGCGTCGATGACATGTTTCCACCCTTGTCCTCACGCGAGCAGGTTGGATTTCTTTGCTTTTCTTGTTCTGAATAAATAATAATTGGCTATTTGGCACATGATAGAGTAAAGAGAAGTCTGTGATTTCTTGTGCTCCACTGTTTATCGTTTTCCAAAGTGATGTAGGGCGTTGAAGTTAGCTATCTTGAAGTGGAGCATTAGATCCACTTTCACCATTATGTTCATTTTGACGATTGACTATTTTTTCTATTTAGTCAGCCTGTTTGTTTTATTTGGGGACTTTAAACTCCATCTACATGACACCTAGAAATTAAATATTCAAATGTTGACAATAAAATTAACTACTAAAAAATTAGTAGGTTTTGAAGGAACTAGTCTTATCCCCGTCTTAATGTTCATGCCATGTTTGGGATGTACGGCGTAGACAACCCAAAGCGTAAAGTATGAGCAGGAAAGTCTCACCGTCGCAGTATTATCCTCCATGACACTTTAGGCTCCCTTGATCATTTCAGGGTATTTAGAGCTTCATGTCTCAGTTTTGTCTTTTCAAAACAATTTTACGTCGTGCTATGGAGTCTTGGAAATACTAGATTTTGCTGGTCCGAAATTTGATTTTATAATACATATCGAGTTTTTTCTTGAAACCTCAAATTATCTTACAGTGGCCAAAAAATTGTTCGCTTTTCTAGGAGGATTTTAATTCATGGAATTATTGGAAGCTTCCGTCTCCTATCCGAGATTAAGCCAGTCCATCCACTTATTTTTTGAGATTCCGGGATGGCACTCCCACGGCTATGAAGAGATTCATATAAATTTTTATTCAAATATTAACTTGGAAGCAACTTGCCCTTGTTTCTGAGAAAAAGTGATGGATTCGTGAGAAACTACTAATTCATATGTGCACCTTACAACTAAGGCTGACCAAAGACAGCCTCACTATAGCTGTATATTGCACATGGAAGTTTATTAGTATGCTGTTGTATTACACAACCATTCTTCAAAAGGAAGGAAGTATATTACTTAATTTTCTGATATTCTACACATCAATTTTCAATAGTAGGGTTGATGAGAATGTGTAGATTTTGGTCATTTATAGAATCTTTTGTTAATGAACAGATTTGTTATAGACAAAGTGTTATTACAAAGAGGAGGTATTTTCGCCCTTGATGGGTAAATGACTGGAGAGTGTGATGCTACTGATGCATTTGTCGTTGCGAATGACACATATACTGGAATAATGGAGATCTGCATTTCAAGAAAATTCTGTCTATCTGGTGTTTGTATAACTGGTTTTGTCAAGAAATGTCCACTTTAAGAGCGAAAGGAGGGTTCGTTTTATCAAATGATCAAGATATTAGATTGTTTGAATAAGATTTTTCCCCTTTTACTCATGAAGAGCCCCTTTGTCAATCTGTATACTATTATTTCATGTATAGTTTTATTTGGTCACAGATAGACAGGTGATCCGCCTTGTCTCCTCCTTTCGTCATAAGGCTTGGTCTGACTTTGAGAGAAAAAAAAAATCATGTGTTTAGGTTCCTTACTAAGTAGAATTCCTGAACTTTGGCTATTTGAATGCTTCTTCAAAAGCTTTTAGCATTTTTCAGCTTTAGGCTACGTATTAAATGTGAAGTACAATATAAAGGAGTTATCCATAGAAATGTGAGGGAGTAAGAGAAAGTGAAATAGAAAATAAACAAAGTCTGGAATTGTTAGGTGGTTGTTCTAATTTTCTTACCATATTTGGTTTTCCTATCTTATGAAGGAAAAGACTACATATGTGGGTTTTTCTTTTCTTAGACGGAAATTATAGATCTTTTTTATTTGGCTAGTCCCTTTTCTTGGGGGAAAAAGTTTGGATTTCAATAAATAGAGGATTCTTCCTTTTGTAGCATCCACAATATGTAGCCATATGGGGTTTGAGAGTCTTGTTTAGGGGGAGAATTTCGGGACAAGTGTTAGCCTGCCATTTGTGTTTGCCTCTTCGTAAGGTTATTCTCTCGATATTTTGTAAACTCTTTTATATAGTGGATTGCTTGTTGAGGTTTATAAGCTAAAAATGCTTAAAAGAGGGTGAATGGAAAATGGAGGAAAAATGAAATATTTGAGATTCATTTGAGATTCCCTCCTTGACTTGTTAGTAAACTGTATTTATAAAATAATTTTGGAGAAGATAAAATAACGTATAAATAGAAATGTAAACAAACAGAATTTAATCCGAGTCCACTGAATTCATAATGTTTCCTTAGGGAATTTAATCCCCTCTTAGTACCTAAGGTTGTGGATTATTTTCTCCTAGGATGGAACGAATTACACACTGGTGTAGCGGTACTTCAAACCCCAGTGTTGCAGCGAACACAGAGATCGGTAGCAAATCACATTTACTGATGCTTTCTTTGTAGTTAAAATAATGCAGAAGAAAGGAGGAGAACTCAGAAATTTGTATGGAAAATATGAGAGAATGGACTGCTATTTATAGCCAATATGTTGAACTCAGATTGAAGAGGTGCATCTCTTCAGAAGGGCTGTTTACGTAAAACGGCCATAGCGTAAATGACTATTTACGCAACAATAAACCGGGAATTCTTAACGAGGAGGAAACTTAATTTTTCGTTACAAAAACGGAAAACGCTTACTATTCCGTTGGATTTAATATTAATTTTTTGTTTACAAAAAACGGATATTTAATAATATTACGTTAATATTTACTATTAACAAATAAATTTGGTCCAAAAAATTTATCAATCAATTGTCCAAATCCAAATTCGAAGCCGAGCAACGAAGACGGCGCGAGGATTGCCTTTTTCTTAACACTTTAAGAGCTAAAAGAAGAGCAATTGTATGTATACCCATAAAAAACCTTTTCCTCTTCCAATATGGGACAATGTCCTATTGTCAAGGAGGGAATCTCAAATGAATCTCAAATATTTTATTCTCCCTCCATTTCTCATCCACCACCTTTTAAGCCTATTTTAGCTTAAAAACTTCAACATTGCTCATCTTCCCCGTGGATGTAGGCCAATTGACTGAATTACGTTAAATGTTTGTGTCTCTTTTGGTATATTTCTCTTTTGTTATCTAATTTATCATCGTTCAAGATTAGCTTTATTAGCTTTCGCATGACACCTGATTATTTCGATTATAACAGGAATATATATACACAAGTAGACTCAAAATGTGATATTAAAACTAGTAAACAGTAAACACCAACTCACGGAGACATTTTATTTTTTTAACAATAGATACTTGTTACTAGTAAACAGTAAACACCAACTCACTGAGAGGTTTTATTTTAACAATAGATACTTGTTACTAGTTTAGCTTTTGACACACAAAGACCACTTCAAAACACAATCCTAATACCCAAGTGCTTCTGCGCAAACTGCACAAGGTTGTTGATTTCATCCTCATCAATGCACCCATTGCCTTATGATGAAATTACTCGCATTTTATAAAAATATATCACTAACAAGCTTCACTTTTACGCAAATTATTAGAAATGACAGCCTAACTTTCACTTCTTATGGAATAAATTCGAACTAAAAGTGTATCAAAGGAATATAATGCTCTCAAGCCGTTAAGAGTGATTGTAAAATCAACATTACCTGTGTATAAGAAAAGTATAGTAATTTTACACAACCTACGTACCATGTCACAATTTTGAAACTTAGCAAGCAATTTTTTTTGTTTTGTTTTCTTTCTTCTTATTTTGGGCATTTCACGTTAAATCATCATACCCAGAGATGAGACTAATATCCACACATAATACTTGTATAGTTTTATGTATATTTAGTACGTACTAAATTTTACAGAGTACAAGAAATAACAGTATCTGTAACAGTGAACTGACAAGAAAAACAAAACTACCAAATACATACCCACACACATATTTTATACGTAACAAACCTTGTAGGTCACAAGGACAGAAAATTCCCTCATAGCCACATTGACTTGTTCTTGGCTATAGTTCCATTCCCTTTGATTTCTTTCAACTACCTCTCTAGTTAAGCCTTTCGTAGGTGGATCTGACACATTATCGCTTAACTTCGCGTAGTCAATCGTGATAATTCCTCTAGAGAGTAATTGCCTAACGGTATATGACGGGATTTCCCGTTATACATAATGCTCCCAACCCTTTGCTGCGTGATTATCACAATGTATACATATTAGTGCCAACGGTTTGGACCACAGTGGAATATCTTCCAAAAATTTCGGAGCCATTCAGCTTCTTCACCGACTTGTCAAGAAATAAACTAGACTCACATAATATGTTATGCGACTCACATGTAAAATTTCTCTTTATTCCACTAGTACAAGTGTAACAGTGAACTGACAAGAAAAAGAAACCTACCAAATACACACCCACACACATACTTTATAACAAACTTGAAGGTCACAAGGACTGAAAATTCCCTCATAATCACCTTCTCTATATATCCAAGCTACTTGCTGGCCGAACAAGCATTTCTTAGACTATAACCACGTTTGCTTGCGTACTGGACCAACTGTTCCAACTCCTTCTTATCAATAAGACCATCACCATTCCTATCAACACGGTGAAGGGCTCGGACAGCTCGATATCCTGGAAAAATGGATCCTAGCTCCCGGAAAGCCGCCCTGAGTTCTTCTGTGGAAAGGTAGCCATCGCGGTTTGAATCGTACGCCTTGAAAATATTGGTCAGCTGCTCCTCAGTCAAAGGTACTTGACCGCAGGTACATTTTATGATGTTCCTAGGTCGAAATAAATCCAACATGTTGTACTGTTTTGAGCTGAAAATTATCAGAAATAGAGAATGTTTTACGTTTTTGTGTGATTGAATGCTGATTCTGTGATGGATGAGTAATTGGACAAACCCAAGAATAGATATATGACTTAGTTCACTAGGTGCAGAATATTCTCGTGGAACTTTATTCTTATATTTTTCAACTAAATTAATCCATAGTCATTGTGTAAGATGCATATTCGAGTTTTCAGAATTTTCAAGAACTTTTCCTTTTCATATTTTGAGTAACAACTCATTTTTTAATGACATTTAAAGGTCAATTTTACGTCTTGTTTCGTTTTTTACTTATTGCAATTATAAGATAATGATAACTTAGAGAAACCGAATACACCTTTGAATTAAAGGTGATAGTTATTCAAGTATCATGTGGATAAATTTGATGCTATGTCTGAGTAGGGATTAACCGTGTATTATTTTTTAGGTACGTGTTAGGATTTTTTGGGTTCCGCCCGGTTAATTTGGAGATAGAGTCATTATTAAGATCTTTTAGAATATTTTTAATTGCTATGTAAATTTCAAACCTCATCAATAAGAATATATGGATTTCTTATTAGTAATTTATATTAATAAGTCTGCATTTCAGGATTGGCTTAAGAAGTCATAAACGTTTCAACACAATTATTAAAATTATTGAAGATAAACTAGAAATAACAAAAACAAAATAAAGATTTTTTTGTTCAAAAGAAGAATTATATATTAATTATAGTAAATTGTTACTGTGGTATGTTAAAGAAAGTATAAAGGTGGTGACTAGATAAGGTCATAAGAATTCGTTGTTCAGATTCGGAGTCACCCAAGGGTTTGTTTATGAGTTAAGGAATAAATAATTGGGAATTCACTTTTATATAAAGTGAGCATATTTATCCATATTACAGACCAAATTAAACTACGCAATCTTACTGATGTCATAATCATGACATCAGTTACAGGAAAAAAATAGTCATTTTTGAGATCTTATATATGATTACCATAATCGATTGGCTTTTGGCCTTCTCGTTCGTTTCTTCAGTACGTTATTTCATGTACAAGCACGGCTAATAACATGTTTGGCCAAGCTTATAAAAGCAACTTATTTTAAAAAGTATTTTTTCTCAAAAATATGTTTCTTAAAAGTACTTTGTTAACCCAAATATATCTCCGGCCCAATCTGATAAAGGAAATCAACAGGTCCAATAAGAGAGGCGGCCCAATTCTTTGTATTGTCTTCTTTATTCTAGTTTGTAAATATCTCCTTTGATTTTAGTTTTATCGATTTACAACTGTACATGTATATAGAAGCCCACAGTAAGAAATAATAGATAGATTGGTCAAAACATAATTGACCGACTCATTTCTTTATCTCCATCTCCCTCTTCTTCTCTCTTCCATCTAGGGTTTCTTTCTTTTTTAATCCGCCATAGCTCGTACAACTCCAAGCTAACATGGTATCATAGAGGGAATTTCGATTCCTCTCGTTATGAGCTTTACTCTGATGTATTCTTCCCCAAAAAATCTTATCAGTTTTGGTTCTCGATCGATCCCCACAACGGACCTGTCGATCTTCAATTTTAGCCGATAAATTTGGGGATTTCTTCACTTACAACTTCGAATAACTCATTCCACTAGGAATCTTCAGCTGTTCAAGGATTCTCGACGATTTCCCGGTTTCAATCGTTTTCTAGGGTTTGCATGTAGACAAGACCTTACTTCTTCGGGTTCTAGAAGAAGGTTGGTAATATCTTTTTTGCCTGTTTTCTCCGAGATTGTGCAGGTTCTGGCTTGCATGCAATTGATATTCTGTCAGCATCTTATACCTGAAAGTTTAGTGTAATTCTACTTGTTAAACTCTGCTCAAATGTTGGGTTTGTGGTCCACATTATGGGTAGTCTTATGGATAATGCTGAACCTTCATCTATCTCCAACGGTTTTGTTCCATTTACCCTAAACCCTTCTCACCCATTCTATATCCACCCATCTGATAATCCTGGTAGACAATTAGTATCTATACCATTCAATGGGTGTGGATTTGTCCATTGGCATAGTAGTATGCTCATGTCTCTCTCTACAAAGAATAAACTCAGTATGTTAGACGGGAGAATTTCACAATAACCCTCTTTCGAATCATCTTATTTCCCATAGTGGAATGATATGGTGAAGGCCTGGATAACAAACTCTGTATCCAGAGAAATAGCCACCAGTGTTATGTGCTTCAACACTACCAAGGAAGTTGCTACACCTAAGTTTCAATGATGACAATAGTACAAATCTAACAGTATCCATTTAATTGCAAGAAATTAGGAGGGCAGTACCACTTCAAAGTAAGTCCTTTTGTTAAAGACATCAGAAAGGAAACAAGATCAAATGCATCAAGAACAATGCTAAATCAAAGGACATCAAGGCCATCAAAAAGGAAACAAAATCAAGTGCAGCCGCTAAAGGAAGTCAGAGCAATGCTAAATCAAAGGACGTCAAGGCCATCAAAAAGGAAACAAATCAAGTGCAGCCGCTAAAGGAAGTCAGGACCTACTTCAAGGATTGATTTGGAATCTGGAGATAATGAAGATCGATCGACCAAGTCAAGCAACAAATCACTCCCTTGATTATGGATATGAAAAGGAAGGACGTAAATGAATCCAGCCCATCTCTTGTACAGGATTCGGAGGCACCCCTTGGGTCAAATCTCTTAGAATATTTTGTGCCTCAATCAAGGGTCAATCTGCAACGGCTACTCAAAACTCTCCTATAAGAAGATTGGCAGACTCAAGAATTCAATTATGCAACTTATCACTGTTTTCTATGCCTTCCTAGTTCTTAGTACAAATATTGTATTTCTAAGTTTACTAGTGTCTCAAAAGATAGGAAGTGTTAGGAAGTAAAACAAGAGTTGTGTCAGCTTATAAAACATTGTCGCCGAAAATCGTTGGTGGTGAACGATCCATAAAACCACTGCTACTGTAACCAACTATTGAAGAGCTAAGAGAACCCTTGTGACCCAAGGGAACTGGATGTAGGTACCACACCGGTATTGAACCAATATAAAACTCATGTGTTCTCAGTCTTTAAATTCCTTGCAATTTAGTTTTTATCGTCAATCAAACCTGCTGATAAAGCAAAGTCGACTAAGTTTTTAAATTAATTACAATAAACCCCTCTCTTGTACTTTTAATTCATATCAGAGCAAGGCTCACGAACTTTGCTTAATAGCAAGTGAAGAAAAGATCATGGGATCAAATACAGTCGTTGAAACTCTATTCCAAGAAGGAACTTCTCAGGTACGACCCCCGTACTTCAATGATCATCACTTTTCTCACTGGAAAGTACGCATGGAGACCTACACTATGTCATATGACATTAAAGTTTGGCGCGTGATCAAAAAGGAAAATCTTCCAATTCCACCAAAGAAGGGTGACAATGGTCAAGTCATAATATCATCTGATCCTCTTGATTTAGATGATTACACTGATGAACAATCAGCTGTCATACAAGTGAATGCTAAGGCAAAAAATCTTCTGTACAATGCTATCAGTGGAGAATAATATAAAAAGATATCAAGCCATGAAACTGCAAAGGAAATATGGGATAAATTAGAGGTCACATACGAAAGAAACAAGGATTTGTCCTAGTTCGATTCGAGACTATGAATTATTTCAAATAAAGGAAGGAGAATCAGTAGAGGAAATGTTTTCCAGGTTCAACAAAATCCTTGGAGACTTAAAATCATTTGGTTGACCAATCAAATGTGGAGAATAGGTCAGAAAAATTATGAGAGGTCTTCCCATGATCTGGCAACCCAAAGTCATTGCTCTGGAATGTCAAGTTCTTGACAAAATGTCCTATGATGAACTTAGAGGTGATCTAATTGCGTTTGAGAAAACACACTTAGACAGGCAAGTTCAACAAGGAAAAAAGAAGACAGTCGCATTTAAAGCAACCGTGGCTGAATAAGAAAATGAAGAAGAAGAAGAAGGAGGAGGAGAAAAAGATGAGAACATACCTATGCTTTCCAAAGTTGTAACAAGCATGATGAAGAAGAACAGAAATAGCAGAAGAGGTAAATCAAACTTCGGAAAAGGGAAGATGAATAATGATAACGACAAAAATGATGGAAGATGCTACAAGTGTGGAAAACATGGACACATCCAAGCTGAATGCCCTAAACTGAAAAAGAAACTTAGCAGGAACTTTCAAAAGAAGAAATCCTTTGGATCTTGGAGTGATGAAGAAGAATCTGATCATGAAGAAATCGCTAACATGTGCTTCATGTCCATTAATGAAGATAGCGATGAAGACTCAGGTGAACTTGGTATCATGGTAGACGTAGGTAAAAGTGAGGTACGCCTTCCTACATGTCCTAACTATCATGAACTTCAAGAATTTATTGACATTGCTCTTGCAGATATTGAGAAAGTTCTGAATGAACTTCGAAAAATCCAGAGAAAAGAAAGATTGGGCTTTGAAGTTGGAAGTATGTGAAATTGAGAGAGATATGCTTTAAGATGAAGTTGATGAACTTCAATTTCAACTGAATGGATTACGAAAATCCACCAGTCATAGTTCAGTTAGATCAAATCAGTCTGTTCATCGCAAATCTCCGACTAGAACTAGAATCCTTCTTTATGTACTGTGGTAAAAATGGGCACAACTCTAACCATTGCAGTTTTAGAATCAGAGGAGAAAAAGCCTCTGAAAATTCTAATAACCCCTCATGTTTCTACTATGGAAAACTCGGTCATACCTCTAACCATTGCAGGTTTAAGAACAGCAGGAGATGGGTCTGGCAACCCAAGCCCTCTAGTCAAGCTAATACTTAGAACACTAACCATTCAGGACCCAAGCAGGCTTGGGTACCTAAAAACAAGTAATTTTCCTTTTTTTTGCAGGACCATTGCAAGAAGAATAGAAAAGTGGAATGGTATCTTGATAGCGCATGTTCCATACATATGACTGGTGACAAACAACTGTTCAAGACGGTCACCAAACTAGATGGAGGAACTGCCACGTTTGGAGACAAATCAAAAGGGATGTAATTGTTGTTGGAAGAGTCCCTCTCAGCTCAACATGTGATGTAGACGAAGTATACCTGGTTGATGAACTTGGTTACCACCTTCTCAGTATCAGTCAACTATATAAAAATGACTATGAGGTTCATTTTAAAAAACATTGTTATTGAGGACGAATCAGGTAAAGTTATTCTTTATGAAAATAGAGACAGGAATGTTTATAATATCAATAACATAGATAGTCTTAATAATCAAATTTCTCTAGCTTCTATGATTGATGATACCTGGGTATGGTATAGAAAGCTTGGCCAGGCTAGCATGCATACTATTCAAAAACTTTCTAAATGCGATCTTGTCATTGGTCTTCCAAAACTAGATTTTTCAAAAGATCATATTTGTGATGTATGTCAATTAGGAAAACAAACTCATTCATCTTTTAAAATCAAAAATATTATTTCTACTACTAAACCTCTTCAACTCTTGCATATGGATTTGTTTGGTCCAACTAGAATTACTAGTATTGGTGGTAGAAAATATGCTTTTGTTATCGTAGATGATTTTTCTCGTTTCACTTGGGTAATTTTTCTGAGCCACAAAGATGAAGCCCTAAGAAATTTTAAAGTCTTCTATAAGAAGGTACAATGTGAAAAAGGGATATTACATTTCTACGATCAGTAGTGACCATGGAGGAGAGTTTGAAAGCAGAGCCTTTGAAAACTTCTATAATGATCAACGAATCTCTCACAGCTTATTTTCACCAAGATCACCTCAACAGAATGGAGTGGTAGAACGTAAAAACCGAACTTTGTAGGACATAGCAAGAACCATGATTGTGGAAAACTCTCTACCTCACCACTTCTGGGCAGAAGCTGTAAGCAGAGCATGTTATATTATCAACAGATGTCTGATTCGACCCATTCTTAAAAAGACTCCATATGAGCTATGGAATGGTAAGAAACCCAACATCAGTTACTTCCACCCATTTGGATGCAAATGCTTCATTCACAATAATGGAAAGACAATTTGGGTAAGTTTGATCCAAAAAGCGATGAAGGATTTTTCTTGGATATTCTCGCTCAAGTAGAGCATATAGAGTATTCAATAAAAGAACTTTATGCATTGAGAAATCCATTCATGTTGTTTTTGTGGATACTAACCCTCGCTTAAGGAATGAAAAACATCCTGAAGATGAGGAAATCTCTATTGTCCCAAAGTTTGTTATTACAAGAAAAGGCAGTCATGATCAGTCGACCAATCGGCAAAATCAGTCAACTGAGGAGCACATTGAAATCCAGGAACCGTTTTCTACTGAATAGTCAACCACAGTGGAAATGGAGCCAGTCACAGGTGTTCCAAGTGAATGGAAAACTGAACCTAGATATCCCCACAAGTTCATCATTGGAAATCCACAAGGAGGTATCACTACCAGAAAATCTCACAAGCTCAACTCTCACATGGCCTTAATATCACAACTTGATCCAAAAAAGGTTGATGAAGCCCTTAAAGATGACTACGAGGTCAAATCTATGAAAGATGAACTCGATCAATTTGAAAGAAATAAAGTGTGGGATTTGGTTCCAAAACCATCAAATGCTTCCATTGTGGAACTAAATGGGTTTTCAGAAATAAGCTGAATGAATCTGGTCAAGTAGTTCGTAACAAAGCAAGACTAGTTGCTCAAGGTTACACTCAGCAAGAGGGAATCGACTACGATGAAACATTTGCACCTGTAGCAAGATTAGAATCCATTCGAATACTACTTGCTTTTGCTAATCATAAAGGATTCAGGCTATTTCAAATGGATGTAAAAAGCGCCTTCCTAAATGGATATATCTCTGAAGAAATATACGTGAAACAACCTCCTGGCTTTGTAAGTAACAACTTCCCAAACCATGTATTCAAGCTGTCTAAAGCTCTAATACGAACTCAAGCAAGCCCCTCGAGCCTGGTATGAAAGACTAAGCTCTTTTCTCCTAAATCAAGGTCCCAAACGAGGTAATATCGTCACAACCTTGTTTATTAAGCGCTCAAATTCAGGTAATCTTATTACTCAAATTTATGTAGACGATATTATTTTTGGTCCTAACTTTGTATTATGTGAAGAATTCGCTCATATTATGAAAGGAGAATTCGAAATGAGCATGATGGGAGAGCTAACTTTCTTTCTTGGACTGCAAATCAAACAATCTCCTAAGGAGATTTTTATTAGCCAAACCAAGTACAACAAGGAACTCATAAAGAAGTTTGGTATAGAGAACGCAAAGCCTATTAGGACTCCAATGAGTCCAACAACTACGCTTGAAGAAGACAAGAATGGAAAAAGTGTGGATAAAATAATGTATAGAGGATAGATTTGATCTTTATTATATCTCACTGCTAGTCGACCAGATATAATGTTCAGTGATTGTAAGTGTGCAAGATTTCAGTCGGCTCCAAAGGAATCTCATTTGACTGCAGTTAAATGCATTATTAGATATCTCATTAGGACAACTGAATTAGGATTATGGTATGCTCATTCTAACAATTTTGATTTAAAAGGTTTTTCAAATGCGGATTTTGCAGGTGATAGGATTGACAGGAAAAGTACTAGTGGCACATGCCAATTGTTGGGGAATTCTCTAATTTCCTGGCATAGCAAGAAACAAAATTGTGTTGCCTTGTCAACTACTGAAGCAGAGGCTGTTGGAAGTTGTTGTACATAAGTTCTTTGGATCATGCATCAACTTCTCGATTATGATTTATCTCTTACCTCTACTCCTATATTCTGTGATAATACAAGTGCTATATGTTTGTCAAAAAATTCTGTGCATCATTCTAGGGCAAAACATATAGAAATTAAGCATTAATTTATTCGTCATCATGTTGCAAAAGGTGATATCTTTTTAGAGTTCATTTGTACTAAGTTTCAACTTGCTGATATTTTTATAAAACCTCTTTTGGAAGAAAGATTTTATCTACTGTGTAAAAAGATTGGTATTATGTCTATTATGTAAATAATCTTCCGTATCTTTATAAAATATTTTAATTTTTTAGTTTGCTTAATTGATGAGTGTATTAATTTGATATGAGTGCTACTATTACACTTCCATTGGTGCCGCCAAAGCAACTCCTCAGAAGTGTCACTTCTATCTGAACCTGCCCTTTCCTCTAACCGATGCAACCCTTCAACCTTCTAAAAGCCTAGATAAGTACCCCCTCCCTATCTCATTCTCCATCCTTTCTCACCAAATTCCTCTACCATGGCGAAGAGGAACCTCTCATCTTCCACTGCCACAAGACGAAGCAGACGATTTCAAAAAACCCAAAATCCTGAAGAAACCGTCGACCTTGAACCATCCCTTGATTCAGACTTCCTCAAAACCGATGGAGAAAACCCCCAAAAGGCCTGTATGCAAGAAAGGGAAAGTGGAAAGCACAAATTTTTGGCCAGAGGATAAACTGAACTTCTATGGACCAAGTGAGAAATCAAGGTTTGAGTCTGTTATAAGTCTAAATCTATGGCTTATGGATGCTCTGTAAGTCTCTCCCTTATGGAAAATTTGCACTGTGATAAGATTGGTATCTTTGACTTTCAATGTCTTTCTCCTTTGTTTGATACTATTGAAAATTCTGTGTATGAAGAGCCTATGAGGATGTTTTATGCAAATCTATTTGTTAATGACAAAGATGACTTGGAGTCAGTGGTTTTAGGTACTCAGATTGTTCTTGATTCCTATCAATTTGAAAAGATATTTTCTGCTAAGTTTCATGGTTATGATGTTTTTGTGTAAAATTCCTGGCCTAAAGACTTTGAAGTTTCTTTAGAAGAGGCAAAATCTTTTCTGTCTGAAAACCCTCCTGACATTGGTCCTAAAAATCTCAAGTTTGAACACCTTATTTTAGCTCACATGATAGCTACTACTCTACTTCCTAGGACTGGGTCTCTCAGCACTTTGACTACTAGAGATATGGTTGTTCTTTACTGTCATGTGAACAATTAAAGGCTTGAATGGTTTGTGTGGATTCATCAGTATATGCTTGAAAGTATCGGGGATATATCTTCTCCTCCTGCTTGTTTACCCTATGGGTTGCTCATCTCACATATTCTCGAGGTCATGAAGGTTGATTTGGCACCTTTCTCACCTAAGCACATTACAAGCACCTATGATAAGACAACCTTTGCTATGATGGGTTAAACCTTAAGTGACAATGGATGGGTCAGCCGTGCCAAGGTTGAAAGTGCTCCAGTGCAGGTTGAAGCACCCATTTAACCGATAGAGCCTCAGTCGACTACCACCAATACAACAGATTCAGCAAAGTCTAGATAGGGTAAAAATCTTGCTCATTGCAATGAAAGAACATGTGGAAAAAATCAGGGAAGTCTCCAAAGAAATAGGCACATATGTGGCTAAGCTCAGGATGGACATGGGAGCCACAAGGAGGCAAGGAATCGGGGCATTCAACTCCATATTAGAAAAGATGGACAAAATCACCAAAGAAGTTGAAACCTCCTATGACTCCTTCTGCACCAAAATGATCAATACCCTGAAGTACTTTCTGGAGAGGAACTAAGGCAATTGTGTGTGTGTCTAAAACAATTTTTTTTTGCTCTTTGCTTGTTTTTATTTTGTGAACTACTTTTTCTTTGGTCTGTAAGAACCATCACCATGTGCCTCTGCTGAAGGCATGACCTCTGCTACCCTAACTACTTTGTTTATTATCTACTTTATTATGTCTGTTTTATCTGCACTTGCTTCTTTCTTTTTGATTGATGTCAAAGGGGGAGAAACGTGATGAGTAAACCAGCGCAACAACTCAGGGGGAGCAGACATCTTAAGTTATGAAAGGGAAGTATACTCTGTTTACTCTCTTTGATTATCATCATCGAAAAGGGGGAGATTGTTACACCTAAGTTTCAATGATGACAATAGTGCAAATCTAACTGTATCCATTTAATTGCAGGAAATTAGGAGGGCAATACTACTTCAAAGGAAGTCCTTTTGTTAAATACATTAGAAAGGAAACAAGATCAAATGTAGCAAAAACAA